CCCCTCCCCCCCACCTCTCAGCAAGGGCTCAGGAAGCAGCTGTTTTACTGTACAGCAACTCAGGAACGGTAAATTCACGAATACTGTTGGTTTTCTGAAAAAACAGGCGAAGATCCATCAAGTAAGCCCCAAAAAGAAGGGGGACCATTCCTGTTTGCTGTTTGACCGGCGATTTTTTTAAGTGTCTTTTCAGTCATTTTCAATCTTGTTTGGCGAATTTGTCCCTATGTTGAATCCGGTGGAGTGAGCGTGAGGCTTCTCTCAGTAAAATTTTAAACAGCAAAATAATTGTGATGATTTCCAGCTTCCCTGCACTCACTCCACTTAGCAGTGCGGGCTTGCATTGATCCCACAATTATATTCTGCAAGCGGCCAATTATCCCGCCAAACATATTATTTTCATGTCAGTTTTCGAATCGAATTTTATGTGAATTGTAAAATATTCCTAAACGTATCTTTCCGTATCAATTCTTTTAAATGGACCAACTTTAAAACCTTGCATCATCTCATCAATCCCATAAGAAATAGTCCGGATTAGCAGACGAAAATCAAGAAAAATCTGCCAAAATCTATTATACAGTATCAAGTCCTCATTAGACCTAGAATCGCGGAGGTTACTTTTCCCGCGCGTGCTTTCACAACTCTTATAATCTGCCTTATAGCTACCCCACCTACAACTTTTCACCAATTTGAGCATACTAGAACATTACGGATAGTACAACACGACACTTTCACTACTACACCCACTCATCTTAACATCGGCATCTACTGGAGGTGGGCGATCCAAGGCGTAAGACCTATCACTGGGCCTATCACTGGGTTGTTTATTGTTGGCCTATCATTGGGGTTGTTAGAATTTGGTGCTGTTTACCGCTGAAAAACAAACGCTTATATCACCAGGTCTATGTGGCAATACTTATCGCTACACAGCACCACGGACCGACTATACATTCGCAGGGAAAATGGTCTAATAGCAAGCCATAACACTTTTTTGTCCCGGTCTTTTGTATTCATAAATGTTTTTGGGTTCTTGGTGGTTTCAAAGTCACATTCCTAAATGTTTGATACTTGCCTTACCAAGTCCCTTACAGGTAAATTGAATTCTAGGTAAATTAAATTACAGGTCCTTTATAGTACTGCCAAACTATCATGTTCACCGATGAATTGTTTGTTGTGCTGAGATGTTTATCAGCTAATGCCTTTTATACATTAAGATTCAAATATCTGAGAGACCCTTCCTACTTAAGGTCTCTAAAAGCTCTGGCAGCTCCTGTATTGGTTACCGGTTAAGAGGTGGCCGGAAATGGAACTCCGACGCTGCCCGGCTTGCAGGAGTATCTTGAACATCGTCGTAACCTGGCAGGCAGCAGCTTTGCCCAGACGCAAGGTTCCTAATGAGTTTTCGTCTTTGGCGGCCGCTAGCCTTTTCCTGTGACCAAGCAAAAACATCAACGATATGACAGCCGTTGCAGCTTTTGTCCCGCCCAGGACTTCATCGGCTATATCAGTGGGTGGGGAACGAATTAAAAACTTGTTTGCCCTAGGTCAATATTGGAATTTTAGAAGATTCCTGATGATGCCGGATAATCACATGCGCCTGGTTATGGAACCATACGATGCTAATCGCACTTGCTGCTGCATGATAAGCTCCTCTGGACTGATGTCTGCGTCTTACAGTGGACATCACTTCCTACCTTACCGTAACGCTAATGACCGCTTCTCGTGTAAAACGAGAACCATAGTTTATATGATAACATGTAAATCCTGTTGAATGCAGTATATCGGCCAACCCCAGAGAAATCTACAGGAGCGTGTAAGAGAACACAGAGCCAACGTGGTTAAGAAAACAAATACAATACTCTGTAACCACTTCCAGTTGCTCGGCCATCGATCTGAGACTGTGGGTGTTGAGATCATTGAGAAAGTCTACACAAGTCGAAAATTGTTTTGAATTAGAACAGTCAACACTGCCTATCCATTTGGGCTTAACGACAACATTTTGAATTATGGGAATATTTCGGACGGACACAATACCGTTCAATTTGGATGAAACCCCCTATTTTCAGACCTTCTTACCACGGAAAAAGCGTGACCACGGTGTTCGGAAGCGCAAAAACAGATGCACTGATCACGATCTAATTGACTATGCATTTCACTGTTGAGTCAGTACCCCTTTGACAATTCAAGACCTGCCTTGCAGGTTCTATAAATGCAATCGCAAACCCTCAGATTTTTAAAAGATCGAATTGTATGCGATCCGCTTCCATTCTGAACTAACCGCATACTTCAGGACTTTCTCAGTCGTTCAGACGCTACAGCTCCCTGTCAATGACAATCTGACCCCACGTATCCTATATAAGATATCCCGGGAAG